GCGGTTTTCAAAATGTGGCTCTCACCCTAGTGCCGCGCACAGCCGCCTTAAAACATTGCAGGAATTTCACGGATTAAGGGCATGGCCTTTTCAACATGTGGTTCTCGCATTGGCGCCGCGCACATTCGCTTTAAACATTTGCAAGAATGTCACGGATGTCCATAGTAAGCCTACCAAACATGGCGTTTGGAACGATTCAGGATTGTCAGGCGCGCCAGTTACGTTGATTCACGGTATTGAAATCACACGTATGCTGTTCTGGCACGATTCAGGATCGTCAAGACGCAACAATCAGGTTGATTCGTGGCGTCGAAATTCCGAGAAAATGTTTCGGCACGTTTCGGGATCTTCGAACGCTTGTCTTCCAACGGGGAACTTCCGTCAGTGGAAATGAACCTTTGCCCTCGTAGGGGCCTATTAAGAGGGAGCTTGGAGGGAGCGCTTACTCTAACACCATTGATGAATCTTGGGTTACACTGGTCTCTGGAACTCTGGAACTCTAGAACTCTCGATCCGCTGCCCCGTGCAAGCTCAGTAAGATGGGTGATAGTATCGTCATGGCAAGGCGGTAAGCGCTGCAACTCCCCCTCCCGCTGAGCTTGGTCCACAGAACCCCCTCCCCCACTTACCCTTGGGCTTGCTGGACGAATTGGCCAGCAGCTCGATTAGGTGCATGGGGAGGCGTGGCGGCGAGGGAGGCAACAGGGACGAGCGCCCAGCCAAGAAGCGTGCGCGGGCACAAACGCACACCAGAAAATCAATACATGAACAGTGGTCTTCTGCAGACCAGAGGATTTGTTAGCACTTGTTGCTGGCCAGGCGCGAATCCTGGTCTCAAGTGCAACCGCCTCCGGCGGGTGCACCTGATGTTCCATCCCTGACCCCACTCGCCCATACCATCCCCCAAAACCTGCTATACAAAGAAAACGCTGAGATACAGCAGCATTCGAGGAGACGACATCTGCGTAGCTACACCGCGGCTTGTGGCCACGCAGATTGGTAACGGTTCCCGTGCAGCTTTCGCAGGGCGCTGACGTCCGCTCGGACGCGCCCGCTGCCTCCTCAGGCCGCGATCCCAGCAGAGCCCCAGGTCGGCCCAGAGCCCAGCCAATAGACCATCATTGTCATCGACATAGTCATCCGAAACCTGATCCATCTGCGTCTGCGTCTTCATCAT